ACAGAAGCCTGTTCGGACACCTGCAAATATGCCATGATCACTAGGCATATTCATGCATAAAAATAAACCTGATCTTACGTGCACATTAGCATACCGCTTGTTATCGATATGCAGCTGAGAAAAATAACACTTTCTCTTTTGATATCGGATTGCATGATATGCCTTGCACGCTGCTGATAAGGGGAGAGAAACGATATTGAAATGTGAAGCAGTGAAGAAGCCTAGAAACTGAAAAACCTCCTGACAAGAAAGCTATCAATGCTTAATAAGGTAAATTGACAAAGCGATCAGGAAATAGCCACTACAGAAGGTGACACTGCTGGGGACACTCAATATTTAAGGATAGTTCCAAGAGTCTACAATCCTTGAAGAAAATTCGAGCTGAAGCTGCGTTTATGCCGGTCGCAACATATGTTATAGAATAGGATTGAAATCAGAACCAAAATATAATAATAATAATGTCATAATTCTATATGACGTATATGATGTCTTATAATATTAATAAAAATATGCAATTCTTGTCCAATTGTTAACTCTCTTTCGGTTTCTTGTTTTAGAATGAAACTCACCTAAGATCAGGTTCTTGCTGATAAGACAAACAATATCCACTGCAGTGGATGCTCTTTGTTTAGAAGTCCGTTGGCGATAAGAACTGCACTAGCAGTTACAGTCCCTATCAGTGATGAGGCAATACGTTGGAAGTGAAGTCCGCTTGTACGTGTTGGCAGTCCAGCCAATCAGCATAAACCAATGAAATCTATTACTTTTGTTGAGTCTAAATGGCATATGTAGTCAACTTGATTATTCAGCTTCCAAACCACTACAGTACCACGTTCGATATGTCGAAATGTGATTGCCATGCAATGGGACGTCCTTCAGGTTTCCTTGCGACCCGTCAACTTGTCGTTCCGCATTAACTTGTGCTTACTGCCACGTTCAAGGAAACGACACTGGTCACCAACCCTCCTAATTTCTGGTAGGTGCACCTACTATGCCATAAGCCTCAATTACTGCGAGTAATGTGAGCCAAGAACATGCCTCACGCTAAATTCTGTTCAGTGAGAGTAAGATCGTTGGAATATGCCCTCTGTGACAATATTCTTAAGTGCGTTTCTGTATTTCACGGCGTAGCGAAGGTTTTTCCACGCGGAGGGGAGGGGGTGGTCATCACGGCGTCATGAAAATATTTTATGCAGCGGAGCCCCTCGTCTATCCAATATCTTTGCTAAAATATATAACAGGAAAGACAGTGAGATGGAGCCTTAAGAAACAAGCTCTGGAAGCCCCATGTAGCAACCAGCGAACAAACTGATGCGAGATGCATCTGGTATTTCTGGTGCTAGAATACCATGGAGCCGCAGCCCGCTGAAATTCTCTCAAGCAAACGGGAGCAGCGGACGGCG